AGTAATTAAATAGCTAATGGTTTCTAAAAGTGCATTTATTACACATTAGGGTAATGAAAAAAAGGGACAAAGAAATTTTTTGAAATTTGGAATAGGTTAGAGTCCGTGGGATGGAATGTTAAAGTGAAACTTTAACATATAATTTATCGATTAAAAGAGAGAATTATGCATGGATTTAGAGTAATGATAATGATTCTAAATACGGAAACAAAAGTAAAATTATTATATCTAAAACTTGAAATTTATCCGGTATTTTTGCCCTCAACTCATCACGATTACTGGATTTTACCGGTGTGGAGATTAATGCCCGAAGTGCTGGTAGCTATCACGAGAAAAGGCCGATACTCACGATCGAAGCACCAACCAAGAATTATATCGCTTCACGTTATACTTTTGTGTTTTAGCACAATAAGATAACAATTTTTTGTTTTTAGTTAAATTATAGATATACATACTCATATTGTTAGATATTATATCCTGTGTGCATGTAGATGTATATGGAGAAGAAGAGGCTGTAAGTATGAGAAAGATATGAGTAATGAAAATAAATATAAATAAACGGTTTTAAGTCTTAAGATCGGAGAGAAAGAGGCGAGTCCGAGGAGTGTATAGCAATTAAGCCGATGCTTACGATGATAATTAGTGGAAGAAGGTTCGAATAAGGCAGCTGGCCGGCGCGGAGGTATATATCCTCCGTACCTACATTTACCTACATAATTATCGGTATGATTATTATATCTCCAAGTGCTCGAGATATGCTCAATGTTTTCGAGTTCAAATACATTTGCTCTTATTTTAATCCACCGGCCATCGGAGACCAGCCACACTGTTATCTTGTATCGAAACATCTTTTATCAGTTCGTTGTAAGAAGCTCGATCTCTTCTTAATTTAGGGTACATGAAAAATTTTATTTTAATTTTAATAACTCATCAGTAACTGTAATGTTGAACAAAATAAGGCATGTTGATTAAGAAAATTAAATAGAGAAAGTAAATGTGGTTTGATATGCGCGCGCATTCAAAGCGACATTTTGTCAAACTATTGACGCCATTTCATTATAACAGACTTTGAACTCCTTTAAAGTATTTATTAATTGAATTTGTGGTTAATCAGAGTTTTTAATCGGTTTTATTAATTTTGTAAGTTGAAACTACATTAATGTTCAATTTTTTATCAGCAAATAATTATTTTATGGGTAATAAATTATTTGTATGACATAAAATTGAGTTTTACATAAAATAAAAGGACAGTAAAAATTCATATACCTCAAAAACGAGTTTCCTAAAAAGAGCACGAACCTAACAACCCAATAATTATTACCCAAAAACTAATAACAATAATCCTGAATTCTCAATTCATTTCTTTAACATGCCACGACAAGTCTCTACTCAGCCAATCAGCAAAATAACTAGAATTAGAATGAGCAGTCTAGCAAAAGCGATTAATAAAAAATTATCATCTTTAGTTCATTTCGGTTTATAGAATAATAGCTTGCCGTTTTATTTACCAACAATTTAAAAGCAATAGAGCTGAGCTTACAAGAGCATTTTGAAAATTACCATCCAGTAAACTAACAGCCGAAGACATACTCGAGCTGAAAGCTCCCATCAACTTCGCCACTTGACGAGCTTACATCACGACATTCCCCGAAGTCTCTTACTCCGGAATAGCACATTCGTGTTGTACTTGACGAGTTAACGGCGTGCCTAGGAGGACGCTTTTACAATTCAGCTCTTGAGAATTTAAAAATGCAATAGAAGCAAACACAAAACTAGTTAACTCAACAGTAAAATCCTCAGCTTCTTTCTTTTTTCCTACTATACCCCGGCGGTATATAACATTCAGTAGCTTACATTAGATCTATCTTATAGCAGCTCGTCGAGAATTTACGTCTCTTTATTCTTATACAAAGCATCATCACATTAGCCTTATTATTATTTCTCTTTCGCGGTAGAAAAATAAAGGCTCTAAAAGATTCGGGAGCGCATAAAGTAAGGTACAAATAATGCTAAGTACATAAATCTTAATGCGTATATGTGTGTGTGTCTCTTGGAAAGTTTGATCCCATTGGGTAGCGATAAACAAACCCTTGATGGAGGATTTTAATGGAGGCATAAACATTATTCAGAGTCCGGCATTACTCAGTTACACAGACAGAAAATAAGACTCAACACATGAAAGCCGGCTGGAGCATGGGGATGGAATTGGGTTGGGATTCGAATTGGAGTTAGGCTGATAGGGTGGAAAGAAGAACCGATAGACTGGGGTTGGGTAAGCACCAGAAGAACGAACTCGAGTAGGAGGCGAGGGCGGGTAGGGAGAACTGGCGATTTTATAAAGCTACGGTTGTGAATAAGAAAGAACACATACGGCTTTAAAAAGATGCGATCGATGTGTGCCTCTTTGCCCTCTTAGAATTCTTCTCCCCGGGCCGGGATAGGGAACAGAAACTCCTAACTCCGGTCGCAGCTTCTTCTGCGTCTTCTTTTTCCCAAAGGCCGAGGTGCACCCCGAGCTCCCCCTTGTGGGGGTAGTTATACAAATTTCCCAGAGTGTCTAGCTTCCCCTTAGCTTTATCCTTATTCCCTTTTCTACATAAGAGTATGTATGCTACTGGCTTCTGGTACCGAGTAGCAGCCCCCAAATACTTCGGTTCACTTATACTCGTTTTACTTTTCTCGTCTCTTCTTTCAACATCCCGCTAAAAGGGGGGCCACCTACTATACTCCCTGAGAAAGAGACCGAGTTTAAGGAGCCAGGAGCTTCCACCACGTAGCCATGGCAACCGGGGGCGGGTCTTTGCATATTACACTCTTCTGTGTGACACACAGGACTGCTATATGTTATGTGCTGTATGTAGTATGTACCACACACTACATGCTAGATAGCATGGTGTGCGCCTTATATGTAATTTCCATGTGTGAGAAATTTCGCGATCAATCGGTGTGACTTTTCTCCTATATGTGTATACGCTACTTCGAATGACGTGAGGACATCTACATGTGTGGAGAATGCTCACCCCTCCCGACTTATTTCTCCGTATGTGTAATGTGGGATGTAAGAAAGTGGGTGGGTGAAAAAAGGAATTGCGGGAAAAAGAGTCGCCGAAGGCAGATGAGGAATTGTCACCTCACCTACGAATGAGAGCCTTTTCTGAGTATGAGTAGAAGGAGATAAAGAAATGGAAATCTCTGTCTCCCTTTCTACAAGGTTCTCAGCTTCTATCGCGCTTTTTTATTTTCTAGAGTCAAGGATGCCGAAATCTCGTGCGTGAACTCTCTGAGACGTCTCGCGGGCTCTTTATCGACATGTCGCGAGCTCCCAGCCGCGGGATAGGAAAATGGTTGGAGATAAATATGCAGTGGTTTGAGAAATCGGATGCGAGAGAAAATTTTGTTTTTGATTTTTGAGATTCTTTTTTTTTTTTTTTTAAATGTTTGGTAGAGATTTTATCGAGGCAGTTTGAGACTGGTAGCTAAGCTTGCAGGTCGGCTCAATGGAACATGGCGGCTATTGTCACTTTTTAAGTGCGAGGTTGTTAAATCAAAATATTTATCATAGTCAGAAGATTTTGTTATTGAATAGAAATAGTTATTATTAAAGGCGATTTAATGATTTGTTAAGTTGATAAATTTTCATTTTTTTATTGGTAAATATTATTAAAGACTAATTTTAATCTTATCAAGGTTAAAAAAGTAGGATGTAAATTTCAAAATAATTATTTTAAATTATAAAAATTTAAATAATTAGTGCTATTGATAAAAAGTTTCAGAAAAAATTACCATTAAAATTAATAAAAAGCACTGCAGTACACAATACCTAGAATTAACGATGTTTATGTCTCAATTGTGCAGGTAGCGTGATTTCTACAATACTTTGCTTCAAATTGTTGGCCAGCGCCTTCATTATTTACCGGGCATTTATAGTCACCCTTCAAAATCTCCATACATTATTTTAAACTTCTTTACATTTCAATACTCTTTAAATAATTTCCTTCCAAGTTTTCAATTTTTCAGATTTAAAAAATTTTTCTTAATCCCAAACATAAACTATCCGTCTAAATTTCAATAAAATTCGAATAAATATTTAACAATTTTATTTTATTTATATTTATATTTAGTTAGCGCGCGATCTCGAGCGTGCTCATCCGGCACTTTGATGACGGTGACTGGTTTTTTTAACCCCTCAGGAACTTGGTCCCCTTATTGCGATTGACGAATGTCGATCGCTTGGGGGGTGAGGGTATCTATCGGCTGCCAGGGAAAAAGGGGTACAGAACTTACAGCAGGGTCCTGAGAATCTGAAAAAAGACAGAGGCTGGAGATAGGACGTCTGTCACACTCTCACCCAAGTTGGAACTTTTAAAAAGTACTTTCCGGTATGCCAGGATCAGGGCAGGGAAAAGGGGGTGCTCACATTATATATATATTTTTTTTTTACTTTATTTTTTGCGTTCGGGTATGGGTGACGTGTTTTTCTGGCAGCCAAGGGGTGCGCGCCCCTAATTATAAAATAAAAAAAATCAATAGCCTACCCCACGCTCAGTTTGCTTTTGCTCTCTCTCTCGTGTCTCATGTTTAGTAACATTTTCTCACTTTGGTGGTAGTCGGTGCCTTTAAGGGACTTTCTATTCGTCGAATGGAGCCAGTCGTCAACTGCTTGGGAGTAGTCGAAAGTGAAGAAGAAAAGTAAAATAAAAAATAACCGGGGTGACTCTCTCTCTACTCGCTACTCGCCCCGTTTTTCCATCATTGCCACCCCTCAGCTCACAGGGCACGACGCCTTTCCACACACGGAAATATACTATACTATATAGTACACTGCTGATATTTTTTTATTTTTTTTTTTTTCACTCGCGACAGTCGCAATAGCAGCGTACGGTATTGTATTATACAAGAGAGACAAAGACCCAAGATGAATAAAGAGGGACAAGTATGCCAAGTATGTTGCCATATATTGAGAGGGAGGAGGAGACGATGTGAGTAAATATATGGGGATGTTACTGGGAAGATATAGCTCGGAAAAGTCCACGGATAACGGAAAAGACTCGGTGCAATTTTATTGCGTTACGCTTATTGCGTTTCCCGCATTTTATACTTACATACTCACTCCCTTTTATAAATCGAGTTTTAATACTCTACTGCAATCTCATATATATCTTGTTATTCTTAAACTCTTAAGCAAATCCGTCTAGATAAATAAAACTTTACTGTTTTGTTGAATTAAAACTAAAAACATTTCTTATGCTTAAGCTTTAGATTTCTGTAAATTTACAAACTTTTCTTCAAACTAACTGAATAAATAAATACTATTTAAAATATTTACAGCTTAAATAAATCAAAAAACATATTCCAGTTTCAAAAGACAAAGTTTGGATTTTTAAATAATTTATACACAGAAAGAAAAATTTCTTGACTGGAGAACAAAATATTTGGCTCAAGAAAATTTTTTGAGAAATTCTATTCTTGGTGGAAGTAATTTTTTCTTAATTCAAATTATCATAAATACTTGATACAATAAATTTTTATATTTGATCAAGATTTTTAGATACTTTAGGGAAGCAGTGCCACCTACTTCAGCTGAGAAAAAAATTTTCTCGCCTTGAACCTTTTTTTCAATGTAGAATTTTATTTTCTGTAAATTACAAAATTCCACGGGACAAAAACAACTATGATTAAAATTTTTTTTGCACTAGAAACACCTCCCAGATAAACTATAGATAAAAACCTCGCGGAAATCTATTTAAACACCCCGCGATATAAATCTAAAGCATACAAAAATACATAGATTTAAAATTTATCCTGATCGCACCATACTCATAATGAACCGAGTCTTGGAAGCCACTTGGAGATCGACAGCCATCGAAGTATCATAAAAAAGTTAAAAATAACGATATATCCCTAAACTTACTATCATTTTCCCTCATATGAACTCAACGCCTCTGGCATATCGATTCGCTCGGATAAACACTGAGCGATAAATATCGTGGACACCGGGTAAGAGATCGGTATATATATATATATATATATATATATATATATATATATATATATAAAAATAAAGTGTATACACACAGTAACACAACCGTCATTTAAATGTGAGTTGTGGGTAATAAATAATATACGTGTGCAAGAGTATGCGGTTACCCGAAGCCCGAATGTAAAAGTGAAGAGAAAACCGTAGAGAGGGATAAACGGCGTCTAGCCAAAAAGACCAAACCGAAACTTGCAAGAATAAGAAGTTCTTCTTATAGGAATCCGCGGTAGGTTACAGAGCGTGAATAAGAGGGTGGCTGAGCAAGTTGTGGGTGGACAGCAAGGAGGACACATCGATTTAACCAATTCTTTCTTTATTTTCTTCCTCTTCTACTCTAACTCTAACTCTTATCTATTCTTGGGAGCTGTTTTTGTCTCGGCACGCGCGACAACACATTCAAATAAGTAAACTCACCACCAGGATCTCGAGCGACCATCACCTCTTCCTCTTTCTCGTCCCTTTCCATCCTTACTCTTATCTTCATCCCTCGTTCTTGTCCTGATACCTTATACCCAGAGTAACCAGCTTCACCATCACCATCACTACTAGCGCCATCGTTTCTTTCAGGCGAACGTCCTGCCTCCACCCCCAACCCCTAATGGGGTGGGTCACGACGACGAGATTAAAAGAAGAATCAATAGCACCCCGCACCCCTTCTTTTAAGCTCCTACTTCTTAAACTTGTTCTTCTTCTTTTTCTAGCTCGAGCTTGAGTTCTTCCTCTTCCTCTTCCTCTTGTACAAGCACCGGCGACCCACAACCTCAAAGGCCTTCTCCATATATTGAAATGCGCTAAGAGAACGCCGTCTCATCCCTCCATCATTCAATTCTCATCCCCCAAGGCACTACCACTCTCAACCGAGCCCACACCCACGCTGTACAGCTCACTAAGAACATACTACGTTATATTCTTCTCCAGTTTCCAGTTCCTCTTGGACAAACACTCTAGGATGATCTGAGGCTCTCTGCTACTCCCTCTCCGCCTTCAGGTCTTTTATCCGAGATCCTCTTTGTCTTCCTCGCTTCAGCAATGTCATTATATTTATTTGTTTATTTTTAAATGTCATTTGCTTTTCGATTTGTTTATTGAGCACATGTCAACAGAAGGAGTAATTAAATTTAGTATGTTTCTTTGAGTTTTAGGTAATTTTGTTGTGTATTTATAATTAAAAACAATTATTTAATTGTTATTTTTAATCTTGGGGGTTTTAGATTGGAGATAAAGGTCAATATTTGATATCTAATTGATGAAAAAAATTTTTACTCTCTGATTTGAATCTATTGAATTATAATTAAGGTATTTAATCATTATTTGAATAATGGCTACTTTTTCTATAGAAAAAAAATAATAATAATAAAATTGAACATTATATTAAAAATAGATTAACTTTATTCAAGAGAGAAATTTTTGAACCAAAAAAATAATTTTGAAGAGCTTCATCGTTTTGTTTTTAATAGAAAAATTTTTTTTTTTAAGTAAATTTTATTTGTTTCGAAAATTTTTTCTCTTGATTCTAAATATAGAGGTCGATTTTAGAACAATTAAAGCCTGAGATAAATAAAAATTTTCAGGATCCTAAATTGAAAATTACATGACGTAAATTATAATTTATGATTGAAAGTTTAAACTTGAAAAGAAAGATGCTCAAAAAATGAAATTACTCAACCATATAAAAATGTGTGCATAAGGTAATACCTCCTCTTGAGAGTACAGGACTCGCCCTGGTGCAAACGTTAGTAGTCGAGCAAACATTATCTTTAATTCTGTTGACATTGTCCCTGATTAGAGAGCTCTTAGAGTACCCACTCTCCGATTCCCGTCCCTGTCATCGTCCTTTTTTTTTATATATTTTCTCGTGAGGCTTTTATCTCATATTTTAAATGAATTCTGTTATCGACAGGACTCGTCGATGATGCCAAGGCGAGGGCTTTCAAACACACGTGACACCGGACAGTGTTTAAAATAAAATGAGGATGGGGAATAAAGGACCAAAAAGTATTAAAGGCAAACATGGTGATGTGTTCATGATGATATGAGACTACTTTCCTTCTCGTCCCTTCTCTTCTTTTCCCTTTACTTATATTACATAAAGTCAAACTACCCCGGCATGTTCATGCTCATGCTCATGCTCTTGCTTATATAAGACCTTTCTTACTTTATGTACTTTATTATCATTATTTTCATTGGTATTATTATTATCATCATTTTATTTGATCCTCTTACGTTGTTGCCCTTCCTCTCCTTTCTTCTCGTATCGCCTCGCTTTTTCTTCATCACCATCGCCACACGTGTACAAGTTAAGGTATAAAGTCTACATATTCATAAACTCATACGAGATATTTTCCCAACATTAGATCCTCGGGGTTGTATGTTTTACTTAATATGTAAAATTGTACGCTGACGAGCGTTAGGGGTTAAATTTATTTTTACTTATTTTCCCCGAGACTTTTCGCGAGACTACTATTGGCTAGATAGAGCACCGGGGGAAGGGCGTTGGTTAAATTTAACCCGCGTGTGTGTTATTTCGTTATTTCCATTGGTGTAAGGCGCACACATAATAATCTTCACTTACAGGATCCAAGAACACACGTAACCGGTCTAGTATCTAGTATCTAGCCTAGCCTCTAGTTGGGGAAACGAAAATGTTGATGCACGCGGGTGGTGGGTATTCGCGGAATTTCTACACGCCGTGAAGGGGATTAGTGTAGCAATTTGCATTTCCGCGTTATTGCTTTGCATAAATTATCTTAATGGATGTTGGCTCTTTCTTGTCAGCTCCAACTCGGCTCCTGAAATGCATTGCCGACTATGTTTTATAAATACTCTTATGCGCTTTTCGTGTCAGCTAGACGCTGGATAGGTGTAGTAAGAACGATTGTTATGAGTTTAAACATGTACGCTTTAAGTTATTACGCGTGACTTTTGAATTATGGCTGATCATTAATGTAAGAATGGTGACATTAATACATTGATAGAAAATTTTTGTATTTTTAATACATTTTTGCGCAATTTTAGTTGACAATATTTAATTTCCATTTATGTAGGAATTAAATTAAATGATTCTTCTACATAAAGAATAAATTTATATCAATAAATGAAGAGCTGGTTTTTTTGTCCGTTTATACTGCGGAAACTACTGAACCGATCCGAATAATACTTACACCATAAGATGCAGTGTGTTTCGGAGAAGGTTTTAGTGTATGATATGTTGGTGATTACTTATCCGGAAGCTATATTTTTTTGCCTTAGAAATAATGAATTTTTATTGTAACTAAATTTATTCTATTCGATTGTTATTTGTTTAAAATAAATTTTTTAATTCTATTGGTTATGTTTATATACTAGGCAGATTTCTTCACTTATGAGACCTGAAATTTCTTTAACTGAAACTTTCAATGCTCATTGCAAATTTTTTTTTGATCATATCAATTATTATTCATTTTTGTAAGAAAGACACGGGAATGTTATAATGATTGCACATTAAAAGTTACAATGAATATTAGCTAGAATAATTACATGGATAAAAAGTACATGCCAATTCGATAGAATTTGAAATCTGTGCAAGTCAAAATAATACTCTAATTAAATTTCAAGTCTAGATCTAAAAATGCAATTCTATAAAGCGCCCAGCGGAGCGGGCGAGTAACAGCTACTTTTTTTCATAAGTGGAGTCCATCTGAAGACTCCAACAACTGTCCATCTGAGAGCAATTCATTAAAATATTTTCATTTCTTTGACTCAATTTTGTTAATTCAGAAGTTAGGCAGGAAATTTATTTGAAACATTCAAAATTAGATCCTTGGTCCATTAATTTGAGATTTGAATTTTTAGCAATAAATATCACTTAAGAATATTAAAAAAAGAAAAGAATGAGAAGGCATTAAAGAAATGTAATCTATAAATTAGAGTTAAGTCGTAAGAGAAAAATAAAATATGAAAAGGATAACGAGGATCATCTAAATCACTTTTCGAGCGTAACAGTTTCTCGTCGTAAGCTGCGCGCGTTCGCCACTAATAACGCAACATAACACAGTACATAATACTACAACAGCAGGAGCAGCGAGAGGAGGTGAGGAGAAAAAGAGAGGAGTGCTTTTTGCTTTCAGTACTGGGTGTATATTGTGTATAATAGTGTACAGCTCAAGTACAGTATACAGTACACAGTACAGAAGAACAACTACATATAATAAGACAGCGTGGCGGTTGCGGCGTGCCAGTATGTTTGGTATGGTGTTTGACTGTGGTGGCTGGGTCCGGTCGTATCTTCTCGTTAGTGCTCGCGGGTCTCCCTCCCGCTCTTAATACCACTCTTGGAGTCGGCTCTGTCTGCAATGCTACCCGTTCAGTAGAGTCACGTTTTTAATTTCTCCTCCGGCAGGTCTTAGCTCATTTTCACACCCCCACCGTGTGTTACGTCCGACGTCTAATAAGTAAATAATAACTCGTTGCCGGACATAAGTTACGTCTCTCATCCCATCCTATCTGAGCAGAGGCTGAAAGTTAAGCCTTATACCTCAGCCTGCCCTTTTTCATTTCATTTTATTTTATTTATTTATTTATTTTTAATTTATGAACACGCCTGGATTTTTTTCTTGCCTTTTATTCACACGTACCTCGTACATTCGGATTAGTTTAACTTACTCCAGCCATATGCTCAATTTTTAACGTCCCGTCGTTTGAATTAAGGGTTTAAAATAAATTGAGAATACGGTTACTTACTCGGAGGTCCTGAAACTTGAATGTTGTTTTTTTTTTATCTTTCAGACTACTTATAAGTCAGAGTAAAAATAATGTATTGATAGAAAAAATTGTCTTTATACAATACGCCTTTCTGATTCCTAGAATAAGTACGAAGAATCTGACACAGTTCAAATTTTTATTTATTTTTTCTTAATTTTCTGCTGTTAAAAAATATAAATTGTTTATTTTTAAAATGAAAAATTTAAAACTCCAAGTGTAAAAAATGTCTATAAAAAAATAATACGTAGAAATACTTTTGTTATGTATTTTAAAATTAATTAATAATATTTTTGAGGAAATTTTCGGAAAATTTACTCATTAAATAATTATTAACATTTAATTGACTAATAAAAAATATAGCACTCTGAATTACCGGTATACACTTGACAACACTGCAAAAGTTCCCTAACCTTAAAATTTATTTAAACAAATGACAATCGAATAGAATAAATTTAGTTACAACAAAAATTCATTATTTCTAAGTCAAAAAAAAATATAGGTTCCGGATAATTAATCACCAACATATATACTAAAACCTTCTCCATTTATTAGTATAGATTTTAAGAACTTAATATCTTAATATACACAGTAAAAAATTTTTCGTCATTGTGTAGAGTGTTAAAATTTGTGTGTTAAATATTTACACTCTAGTGTGTAGAATTTAACATTCTCATGTGTTGATTTAATGATTTAACACACTAGAATGTTAAGTTCTACACACTAGAGTGTAAATATTGTGTGTAGAATTTAACATTCTCATGTGTTGATTTAATGATTTAACACACTAGAATGTTAAGTTCTACACACTAGAGTGTAAATATTTAACACACAAATTTTAACACTCTACACAATGACGAAAATTTTTTTACTGTGTAAAATTGAAATTTTGAAAAATGATATTTTTCTAAAATCAAGTATTTTTTCTTTTTAATGATGTACATCTCAAGAGATGTAAAAGTTAAAAAATATTTAAAATGCAAACTCGATCACGTAAAAAATATACCCGGTTGTTTTGTATTCTTTTTATTACAGAATAGATGTTTCAATTTCAATTTTACAAAGAGCTCAGATAGAACATCAACTTTGAAACGTGTACTCATGTCACACACACGAACTCACACGGGAGATATATAGCGAATAAATACGTATCTAGATCGTACATCTTGGTGTGTTATAGACGGAAGATGGAGTTGAAAGTGTTCTCGAGTTCTTGGTCTCTTTGAGCTCTTAGGGGTGAGAGAAAAGAGAAAAAAAAAGTACCGGAGCACTAGGAAACCCCAAAGGTTATCGCGAGGT